TGTCTGGCTGGACTCAAAGGTAGATGCCACGTTAAAAACGTAGTCTATCAGATCTTCTGCAACCTCTGCAAGCAAAAAGCCACGTACATAGGTGAAAGTAAAAGGAGTGTTAGGCTCCGGTTTAACGAGCATCTACGTGACGCCAAAAACCACACAAGAAACACCCCTTTTGGAGAACACTTCATGACTTGTCACTGTAGCGTGGAACCTAGCCACGATGCCCTCTCCATTTCAATTCTTCAAATCTGCAAAGACGTAGCGGAGCTGAAGATCGCCGAGTCCATCGAAATTCGCAATCATCGCCCCACACTTAACACTATGTCATCATCTTGGACGCTCATCAAGCCAGTACCATACTCAGAGCTATAGACGTCATTAGATCACGACAGGCAGGACTTACATTTAGACTAGATCACATCATTTGACACCATCACTCACATACCGTTTTTACAGTATTTCCCCCTTCTGTTATTCATTCTTTCTTTTATCCATTCATTCTTCCTTCAATCATCACAATCATCGTTTACATATACACTGCACACACAAACACACACACACTCACACACACAAACACAGCTGCTCACAAACACAAACACCTACTCACACCTACATGCACACACACAGTCACTCACTCATACATACGAACTAGCACAAGCCTAACAGGGACCGCTGTCTAATGTCTGTTGAGACTGATGTCGAATGTACTACTTAGCAATGTTATACGATCAATGTTATGGTGTGGTAGTATGTTGAATAGGTATCATACTCATATGTACTGTGAACAAGACGCTGATTTGTGGAAGCTTGCGACGTAATATGTGTAAATGTTGGCAATATGTATAACAAGGTTTAGACCAAGCGTATCCCTATCATATCGAACTGTATTAATTTGTTTCATGCAACCATTCATTTTCCTGCCAAGTAAATCTAGATTGACACCTATTTTGGAAGCGCATGCAAAATATCTGTGAGTGATTTTATCCAAATAATGTATTTAGTCTCATGTGTGTCACATACGTCTCTCTTGTTCCATTGTAACACTGTACCACTGAGGAAGGGCCACGCCCGAATATATATTGGTCTTTAATTTTTTAATTCCTTCAGATATGAGCAAGAGGTTATTTTTCATACTCCAAAAATATAAACTTTAAAATTTGACCTGACCTTGACATGGCCTTCACCAGTACATAATCTAAACTGGCCCCAAAGGCTACCTGACCCACATAATCGCATTTCGCATGTAAAATGGACCATAAAGCATGCATCACATGATATTTTCATATTGTGACCCTCAGTGACCTGATCTCTGTGACTAGACCTGGTATCAGTGACCTCAAATAGCAAAATATATGTTTGACGAACAATTCCCCATCGATGATTTTCAGTGAAATGGATTTTACTCGATTCTACAACACATTTCTTGAAATGCCTTTAAACTGTGAAAATTCCATCGGCAGACCCCATCGGGGCGCGGGTTAATAGGTATGTAAAAACACGCTTACATATAACACAAATATTTTCACGAATTAATCGCCTCGCTATCACTATGCGTAAACAAAACCACCCCCGCGGAGTTCCCTTGGAACGGAAAAACGCAGAAATCGAAAAAAGCAGCAACCGAAATACCGCAGAAACAGAAAAAATGCGGCTAGTGTAGCCTGAGCTTAACCCGCGCCCTGCTGGGGGGGGGGGTTTGAACACCCCCCCTGTGGTTTTTCGCGAATATCTCAAAAACGGCTGCGCGGAGCGCCGCCGTTTTTTGTACACCTTATCATACATCAATTCTACACATGTTGTGAAAATTTCAGACCAAGGTCATTCAAGGTCAGGTCACCAGGTCACTTGAAGTGACCTCACCTCATAAAAAGTTTCAATGTCTGTCATAGCTACACCGAGTGACCGATTGCTTTGAAACTTTCAGCGATTGCTAAGAGCAATGGCATGTACAAAATGTATATCTCAGAATTTTGATATCGGTAACCTAAGGTCAGGTCAATTTTGCGACCTCCCCATTATAAGTCAATGGGAGAAAATTGAAATGCGCCTCTTTTGGACGAAAGCCATTATAAACACTCCCAAACACTGAATTACAAGTGGTTTAGACACACTGAACATGAAAATGGTGTCCGTGACCCCTGTTTATGCCCTGAGGTCATCTTAGGTCACGAATGGTATCTAACAGTTTTTCGCAAGTAACTTTTGATAGAGGCATGCTAGAGCGATGAAAACGCCTTAGATGTGTTCAGCTCGACGATACGGATCGACTGATATGCAGCATGACCCTTTCCGGTCAGGTCATGACCTTGACCTGAGGTCAAATTTTCAAGTTGACCTTTCAAGGTCAAGTTGTAGTTCATTCGATGCGTCTTGACGAGAGGAACACGATGCCGGTAAAAGTAAGCTCGTACAAGGCTTGGGTCAAAAGTTATTGCAGAAAAACTGTTTCCGAAAAAATCGGCTATTTTTACAGTTTTTGCCCCCTGCAGGCAAAACCGTTGACGTTAGGTCAAATCTGAGAAAATTACTCAGAAAGGGCGTTAATAGGGCTATCGAATGCGCTTTTCCGCGGCGCTGTAGCTCTTTTCGTTCCCGAGTTATGCGTTGGCTTCTTGGAAATTTTCGACATTCGACCTGGAAATCGGCGAAATTTTGCCTTCAATGACCTCTGGTGACCTGACCTTTGACCTGAGCAAAAAATTGACTGAAGTGATTTCCTCATTATTTTTGACGCTCTTTCGAACGCCGCCTTCTGCGTATCGCTACGTGGCCCAGGAGCCGAGTTAGAAGGGGGGGTGTTCAAACACCCCCCCCCCCCCAGCAGGGCGTGGAAATCCAGGACCCCCAGCCGGGCGCGGGTTAACCCTCGCCCGCACAGGGGGTGCCACCCCCTGGTAGTTTTTCTGCTCTGCACTAAAAACATTTTAAAGCTATAGTCCGTTTTTTTTTTCAAAAGGACGCTGGCTCCAAGTTCATTATCAAAGCTCTCACGTGAGTTTTGGCAGCTTCAGTGTCTGGTCAAGAATTTCTTACCGAAAAATAATCTATTTCAAATTGTGCACGGTAAGTAGCTGAAAATTGTGTCTTAAAAGTGAACATACTATGATGACGTCACTGGTGGCAGCAGGCACCCAAATGTCCGTGCAATGGGTCAAAATTTCGACGAATTTGGCTGAAACTTCGTTTTTCACTGTTGCCGAGGTTATAATCGAATAAGCGGTTCCGTCCATGATAGTTATACGTTACATTGCAATGCAAGTTCGACAGCATGACGTCACTACTGTTCTCATATCTGGTTCCGAAACGCACATATGGAAATTATCGGGAAGAAATCTCGTGTTAAAATTAGGGTGCGTTCGGAGAGCGCGGAATATTCCCCGTCATCGTGAAAATTCCCCGTGTTGCGTTCGGAGAGGGACATTCCATACCACCAATTTCAAGGATCGGCGCTACTGCGCGAAGTTGAGTTCGTGGGATTTTGTTTGGGTTATTTGGGTTGGCCCAGTGCTCCTGCTCTTGCTCTGACTTGCTCTGAAGCTCTTGAAGAAAGAACAACTAAGAAAAATCACAATTATTTTCAAAAAGTCCCATCTGTACTGTGTCCCCCCCCCCACCCCAAACACACACAACACAACACTTCAAATTATCTTTTCATTGCTTCAGAGGACAATCACACAACTGAGTAAGCATTATCAATTGTTGGATTTGCAATAAAACTGATCAGGGTGGAATCAAACGCAAGAAATATCCATTTATATTTAATAATATACTCACTCGAGCATATTGATGGGCGCCGCCATCTTCACGGGAACGACGCGTGAGATGCTTTTTAGATTCCGCGCTTTCCGCGTCCGTTCCGCGGAACTTTCCCCGGGAATCGCTCTCCGAACGGCACATTCGGCGCAAATTTCATGCCGGCGTGGAATATTCCCCGGGAATCTGCCTCTCCGAACGCACCCTTAGTCGACGTTCGATTTTCTCAGGTTCAGCTCTTGCTCGTTTTGCTCGCTAAAACACGTGCTTGTTCGAAAAACATACTTGGAGCCAGAGTCCTTTCGAAAAAAAAAACGAACTATAGAAGCCTGAATTTTTGTATACTGCTTGTCTATCCTTTCTAAGCGTCCTCTGAAAATTTCAAGTTTCTGTGGTTTTTGGTTTCGGAGATATGATCTTGTTTTTCAGGTCATGTCATGACCTAAATGACCAATACTCAATATCTTGCGTTGGCTATGGGTCTTGTGAGCTTTTGACATCTTGATTTCGGTATGCCTTTATCTTACCTCCGACCTATCATGGAACATGTTATTCAACGATGCGCAGATGTCAGGGTCAGGGTCAAGGTCAACCTTGGTCATCTAAAACATTGCATTTTAGGCTTGATGAATTTACTTTTCGTTAAGTTTTTTACTGCATTTTTTAACAAAAGCTTCTCAGATCATGATCTCATGTAATAGGAACACACAAACCAATCAGTGCACACATCAGTATACATGACACAGACACACACAGACATACAGACACATATCATTGACCTTGACCTAGCTCGACCTGAAATGGCCACAGCCAGTAAAAACCTAGTCGGATAGTGTGACAAAGAGCTGTTCTAGCTGGCTTGGCACCACAAACGGCAGCGCCATCGGTATACGATGGGCACCGCACGTGATATTCCAACGGTGGCCCCAAACAGCAACATTTTTAGTTAGACCTGACCTGAAAGGTCAATGATTGACCTAATGAGGTAAAATTGGGTGCCATTGGATTTGTCTCTTCCCCAAAAAAAATATGTTGGTCTTTGACGCGAAGCTCTATCTCCAGCAGGAAGAAAATGGCGCGGGGGTGGCAGCCCCCATGTGCGTTCTAGGATGGGAAAATGGCATGTGCGGGCGAGGGTTAACGACGGAAAGCAGAGCACGGATCACATATGTACTATACATGACTCTGCACTAGGCGGGTGGCGGCAGGTGGTTAGTGTGGCCGTGCGGCGCGGCTCGGCTGCACCTCACCTGGTGGGCCAGCTCGTGCGCCACCACCCGTGTGACCCACTGCTGGATGGCGCTGCCGCCGCTGGACGGCTCGTACAGCAGGCTAGTCAGCCGGAACGTACACAGGCCCCAGTTCTCCATGGCGCCAGCGGCGAAGTCCGGGATGGCCACCAGGTCTGTCGGCGACACATCCGACACTCACACTCGGACACGGCGGCACCCATCCGACACTCACACTCGGACACGGCGGCACCCATGCGACACTCACACTCGGACACGGGCACGGCAGCACCCATCCGACACTCACACTCGGACACGGCGGCACCCATCCGACACTCATACTCGGACACGGCGGCACCCATCCGACACTCACACTCGGACACGGCGGCACCCATCCGACACTCACACTCGGACACGTCGGCACCCATCCGACACTCACACTCGGACACGGCGGCACCCATCCGACACTCACACTCGGACACGGCGGCACCCATCCGACACTCACACTCGGACATCGTTGCGACTACCAAATCAAAGGACCCATCTTATAAAACAATGGTGCTTAATGGAAATATAGCTTTTTCCTCAAATACGTTTTTTTTTTGCTACAGTTTTATGATTGTTGGTGATCAAAACGGAATATAAATAACATTTACAAAAGGAGTTCTAAAAATATTTTCATATAGAAAGAACTATTTTCCATCTTTGATATAGGCTAAAGTGTTTGCAGCGGAAGCTGATTGCTCGTTGACTTATCATATTGCGTAGTTTAAAACAAATTGCATGCTGATTGGCTTTGGCCTCTGTGCGATAGGTGGCTGCATTCTTGGCATTCTTCCGTAAGGCACCGCCATTCCTGCGTAAGGCCCTGATTTAGGAGCGAGAAAAAGAACATCTTTGCCCATGGTGATCATTGGGCTGTAAAGGCTCCTGATTTGTGCTGGTCTCAGCTCAAGCTACAACACTGCTTTTCTAGTTCAAACCAACATGTTAAAAACTTGGTATATTTCCGTTAAATTTGCCCCAAAAGCAATTTTCATCCCTAGATAGATACAAAAGTGCAAAGGGATGGCCTCTGTCATTTACAAATAATAAAACAACACTGAGTGAAGTTAACTGGCAAAGACCAGCCGGCGCGGTGGGTTGGCGGCCTCATATCACCAACTACTGCAATACCTACCTAGCGAGACTGAATCGAGCTACTCCAGAAGCACAAGAAAAGTGTGAACTTCAACACGCGCCTCCCAAACCAGTGTCAAAGTCCCCTGATCTGGCCAATGGCGAGCACATCGCTTTTTTTACGAACAAGCGATTTCATATACTTTTAGGTTTTTAACGTTGAATTGAGCATTGTTAAAGGAAGAATATGACCCATTTCCACAAAATCTGAGTTGGGACCATTGTCTGATAAAACAAAAGTTATAATGTAAACTAAAACCATTTTGCTCAAATCAGTTCCTTGCCATCTATATCTCACCTTGAAGTCACGTAAGCGGGGAGCGCTGAAAATAGCCAGTGAACAAGTACTTACATCACTTTTTGGTACTTAGGTTCATGAAATTCTCTGAAACGAGCGTATTCCTTACCTGTGATCTGCATCATGTCTAGTTACTTATCAATCGTCTAAACTGCCTACCAAACTGCTATTCATGGTTAGGATGTCGCGCGGTGATGCTTACACTTCTCAACAATGAGCTGAGCCGATTGTGCTCACATTTGGCACACCGCTAGACACCGGTTAGTTAACCCGCGCCCGGCTGCTGGGGGTCATGGATTTCGACGTCCTGTTGGGGGGGGGGGGGGGTTTGAACACCCCCTTTCTAACTCGGCTCCTGGGCCACGTAGCGGTACGGGAAAGGCGGTGTTCGAAAGAGCGTCAAAAATAAGGAAGAAATCACTTGGTCACATTTTTGGTCAGGTCACCAGAGGTCATTGAAGGCCAAAATTCGCCGATTTGTAGGTCAGATGTCGACAATGTTCAACAAAGCGACGTACAGCTCGGAAACTAATAAAGCTACAGCGCCGCAGAAAAGCGCATTTGATAGCTCTATTAACGTTCTTTCTGAGTAATTGTCTCATATTTGACCTACCGTCAATGGTTTTGCCTGCAAGGGGCAAAAACTGCCAAAATAGCCAATTTTTTTCGGAAACCGTTTTTCTGCAACAGCTTTTGACTCAAATCTTGCACGAACTTTCTTATACCAGAATCGTGTTCCTCTCGTCAAGACGCGTCGAATGAACTAGCACTTGACCTTAAAAGCTCAATTTTAAAATTTGACCTCATGTCAAGGTCATGACCTGACCGATAAGGATCAAGTTGCATATCAATCGATCTGTTTCGTTAAGCCAAACACATCTAAGGTGTTTTCATTGCTCTGACATGCCTCTATCAAAAGTTATTTGCGAAAAACAGTCAGATGCCATTGGTGACCTGAGATGACCTCAGGGGTCACGGGTGCTATTTTCACGTTCAGTGTGTCAAAGATACTAGTAATTCAGTGTTTTAGAGTGATTTTCATGACTTCCGTCTAAAAAAGGCGACTTTCAATTTTCTCCCATTGACTTATAACGGGGAAGTCGCAAAATTGACCTGTGGCCAGTTTTACCAACAGAAGAATAGCCGCCTGCCGGAATTTTTTTGCCTGAAGACCGCTTCACATACGGAGCGTAAACGGTAAAGCCCTATCCGCTTACGTGCCTATCGCGTGTACGCTCCGTATGTGAAGCGGTCCTTAGGCAAAAAAATCCGACAGGCGGCTATTTTTCTGTTGGTAAAACTGGCCTCTGACTTAAGGTCATCGATATCAAAATTCCAACTGATAAATTTTGTACATATTGCTGCTCTTATCAATCTCTGAAAGTTTTAAAGCGATCGGTCACTCGGTGTAGCTTTGGCAGACATTGAAACTTTTTATGTAGTGAGGTCACTTGATCTGACCTTAAGTGACCTGGGTCTGAAATTTTTAACAGCATATGTAGAAAAGATATATGATAAGGTGAACCAAAAACGGCCGTTTTTGAGATATTCGTGAAAAACCACAGGGGGATGGGGTGTTCAACCCCCCCCCCCCCAGCAGGGCGCGAGTTTTAACCCGGCGGCCGCTGGGCCTCCAAGCTACTCGCCGGCCGCCGCGCTGGGGGGGGGGGGGGGGGGCATTTAGCTGTCCCTCCTTTACTTCTCCGACGATATCAGTCGGTGACACACCAGGGAAATAAGCTAAAATTAGAGCGCTCTATTTATTGCTCCCGCTACTTCACCGTCTCCCATAGGGTCCTGTGTTGAGCTGGTGTCGAGGCTCTAAAAATTACGCCGATTTTTGCACCCTTCTCACGAAAACCGCTCGGACCGTCTGGAAACTAATTGTTCCGCTCTAAAAATTTCATGGTCGACGGGAAAATGAACGAGAAAAAGATTGGTCCTGAAATAATTCTGAACTCCCTGTAGAACATATCGAAATATGGCTGCAAACTAGGAGCATGTCAAAATCGACAAAACAATACAAATAAATTTACCGGGATTTTTTTATTTTCCATGCATCTGTACATATATGAAATCAGTCAGTCGGATCATCTTCTGTTTAATAAATAATTCCACAAATGCAATCAAGAAAAAAAAAAACATTTTTGCTGTGACAGCAGTTTTGGCATTGTGCCAGTAGTGTGGCGTGCGCGGTGCTGTGTGGTCGTCGGGGTGGAGTTGTGAGTAGGTATTTTCGGTGTTTTAAATGGTTGATGGCCGTTGGAACCAGCTTTATATTATTTCCTACCTATTTTTGCATCAAGTTATTGCTTTGAAAGATCATTGAAACCCCTTATCTCTTCATGAGACGCGATCATATTCATCGTCGACGAAAATGGCACGGGAATCGATGTGCGTTTCGATCGAAATAAATCGTAAACTAAATAATCTTCGATGATAAGTATCATATTCTAGTGACACAGCCACTTGCTGGGTGGTTTTCTGATAATTACCTGATAATCATTTCTCCTTTTCCTGTACAGAAACTATTTTTTTTTTCAAAGCAACCCAATTTTTATGAAAGGCGGCTTGCTCATTGACATTTCATGTTTTTGTTTTGTTATTGCTGGCAGTATTTACTTATATAAAAATCAAAACGTCTACGTATGTATGTATGTATGTAACGCGTCAGTCACGCTTGGCGGGCTATTGCTCCGGAACGGTGCGGGCTACGGGGTTGAAACTTTCGCGCCGGGTCGGACGCGTGCATCTGTTTGTCGTATTAAATTTTGGTGGGGGCGGGTTCGGTGGTTTGCACGTGGCGGGCGCATCTTTGCGGGATTTTGGCGGCGGCCGGCGCCGGGCAGACGGCACGTGCCGTAGGCTCAGTTTCTTCGCTTGCAAAACTGGGTGAAATCAGAGCCGGAAGGTCACTGACCTTTGGCAATGAATACCGGAACAGAGCACCGCCGGCCAGGAGGAGACGCCAAATTTATTCTTGCAATAACTCAGCCGATACCGGGCCGATTTTAATGAAAATTGATTCATTACGCTGCGCGTAATGCTGTCCCTCTAGTTACATATATAAAAATCAAAATGTCCGTATGTATGTATGTAACGCGTCAGTCACGCTTGGCGGGCTATTGCTCCGGAACGGTGCGGGCTACGGGGGTGAAATTTTCGACGCAAGTCGGACGCGTGCATCTGTTTGTCGTATTAAATTTTGGTGGGGGTGGGTTCGGTGGCTTGCACGTGGCGGGCGCATCTTTGCGGGATTTTGGGCCGCGGCCGGCGCCGATCAGAAAGCACGTGCCCTAGGCTCAGATTGTTCGCTGCAAAACTGAGGGAAATCAGAGCCGGCAGGTCACTGACCTTTGGCAATGAATACCGGAACAGAGCACCGCCGGCCAGGAGGAGACGCCAAATTTATTCTGGCCATAACTTGGCCGCTACTGGGTCGATTTTAAAGGGAGATAATGACCTTTTTCCACAAAATCTGAGTTAGGACCATTTTCTGACAAAACACAACAAGTTATAATGTAAATTAAAACCATTTTGCTCAATTCGGTACCTTGCCGCAAATATCTCAACTTGAAGTCACGTTAGCGGGGAGCGCTGAAAATGACCGTTGAATTAGTACTTACATCACTTTTTGGTACTTGCATGTAATTTTGTAAAATGAGCGTATTCCTTACATTTGATCTTCATCACATCTAG